AAGGCGGCTGTCCCCGGCTGGCCAGAGGGCATTCTGGGAAACAGAAGTCAGCAGCTATCCCCGGCTGGCCAGAGGACATTCTGGAGCCCATTCCCCAAGTGTGGAGGTGGCAGGTTGCTGCTGATACCTGTGGAGGGAGCTGCTTTCTCTCTGGTTGTCTGATTCCTTCTGCATCTTAAGTTCAGGCCTCAGACTCTGAACCTGCCGCTTCCCATACCAGATAGCAGAAGGTGTGGAACCCAAACGTGCTCTATTTGATGACAAAAAGGATTCTGTGATCATCTCAGCCTTACTTCGTGTGTCTGCCCATCCTCAGCGTTTCTCATCTTTATAGAAATCTATTAATCCTCACCATATATGACATGCGCATCTTTTTTGTAAGAGCTTGGACGTGATCCTCTCGGTTGAGGTACAAGCTCTCGGCTTTTGACCTACTCTTGGCCACACTGACCCTTTGTCATTTTCCCAATACATTGCCATCTTTTATGTGCTCACCCTTTGGGTAGACTTTTGCCTCATCCTATACGGGAGGCTACACAGCTTCCGAGTTTCTTAATTCTGAAAACAAGGGCAATCATAGTAACCTAAAGGAGCAGACAGATAAAATGATTTTTTTAATTATCAGAGGTGCTAAGCTAGTGACCCTTGAGTACTCAGCAGCCCCGAAGGGGATGGTATTCCTGAAATCACTTTCTGGAGAGATAACTCCCTCACCCTTCTGCCCCTGCCTCCTCAGTGCTGGGATTACAGGGCTCCACCACCAAGCCTGCTTATTACCTATGTCATAGGGAATTTGCCTACAGACCTTTTCTGTTTCTGGAATTTGAAACAAACTTGGAAGGAGAAATGACCCAAAGAGAGAATAGGTTAAAGTGATAACGTAGAGTCAGTTAAGAGAATGAATGGGCCCCTGTGCTTCAGAAAGGCTCAAAGGGAAGGGGAAGCAAAAAGACAGTTTCAGAGGAACCCCTCACGTAACCGTGCTTAGGCTCATGACTAGCTCTCCTTCAAGAAAGGTTTCCTTCCCCCCCCCAACTGTTTTTCAGAGTTTCAACTCTTTCTGACTCTTCTCCATCCTGTCTGTCCAGAGCACCCCAGTTAACCTGCATTTGATTGAAAATGTGGTACCTACAATTGGCAACTGCTCTTCAGATGGCCGAGTCGGAGACAAATAAAATATGCAAGCAAAATTTTATTTTTAGTTTTTACAATTAAGCACTTGTGACAGGATGTAAACAGTGATATTTCACTGATGCTAGCTCATCATTTCAGCATCTACAAAGGAAATGGTTTGAACCCATGAGGACACAGGGCAGGGGTGGGGTATGGGAGAAAAGAGGACTTGTCAAGTGTTTTGTTTGGGTTTTGTATGCTTGTTTTTTGTTTTTGCCACAGTTATTCCTCACATCGAGGAAGGATGGGAAATTGGTTGTCTGCTCCTCAAGCCTAATGAAAGAGTTCATGGGGGTCAGCCACACAAGTCTGAAATATGGCCCTTGAAGTCAGGGGGTGTAGTGGGGAATGAATCTGATTTAGGATCAAGGAAGCTGAAGTAAGCTATGTAAGATAGAAAAAGCTTGTTGGGAATTAGCCCACACCATGGAGCATCCTGGAGCCCTGTGATCACTGCAGAGAGAAAATGTATGCCTTGATTCATATGCAATAAAGCCCTGGGACAGGCAAAAAAGGCACCAAAACTTGGATTTCCCTCTTGACCTGTAAGGGTTGAAGGAAGATAGGCAAACAAACAACTGGAAGACAGATGTATCCACCTTAATACATTAACACAGTATTTACCAGAAGTAAAAACTGCCAAAACGTCCATTAAAGTGTCCCTAGGAACAGTCCCGTGTGCCAAGCTCAGAGTGCAGGAAGTCACCCATCCAAATAGAACAATAAAATCCTGTTATTCTTTTACCTATCCTCTTCTCTGCCTCCCTCCCTCCTCCTCTGGCCAAGATAAGAAGCAGAGGAAATAGAGATGTGAATAGGAGGAAAGATGGCAGAGAGGTATATGTGTGTATGGGTAGGGAGTGGGGACACAGTCTCCATGTTTCCTGGAGACAGGGCCTTTGCTGGATAAGAGGGCAAATGCTTATCTCTGAATCTGTTGCCATCTAAGGTTGGGAATCTAATTTATATGTTGATACTATCTGTGACTGTGGCCTAAGGTCTGTGCAGGTCTATTACAGGGCTGTGCGCTACTGACAGAAGCAGAAACACCATTGATCTTTGCAAACCATAGACGTGTCAATCTCCTCTCTTCTGTAAATAGAGGCTGTGATTCAGTGGGCCCAGGTCTGCAAGTCTAACAAGTTCCAACTGATGCTATAGGGCCCAGCCATAAAAAACTCAATAGAGGCCTGAGTCCCAGTAATTTACCCTAAGACAAAATCTGGTTTCAAAATTACAAACTGGGTATTATGATAAAAAATAAAATGGTGCTGTTCCCTGAGTGGTGGTAGCAGGTAGCTGGCCACTAGACCATGGTGGGCCATGAAGGCAGCTGGCCCCAGGCAGGGAGCTGCACAGTGGGTGAAAGACACAGACTATTAGGCACACCATGCTTAGTGATGTTGGATATTTATTTAGTGGGTTATGGAGGGGAAAGGGGGAAGGGGAAAAGTGAGAAGAGCAGAGAGAATGAGAGAGAGAGAGAGAGAGAGAGAGAAAGGAAGAGGGGAGAGAAGAGCCATTGCAGCAGCTACCTCTTCAGGAGAGAGATGGAAAGGAAGGAGCTCTGGCTGGAAGCTGAAGGAAGATCCCCTTGCCTCGGTGGATGGGGGAGGAAGTGGTTGGGGCTTGTCGCTTAAAGGGGCAGGACAGACCACTACATTCCAATCTCTTTTTTATTATAAAAAAGGCAGTAGGTTAGGCACAACAGGTTAAAGGAATTGGGACAGATGATTCTCAAGACTGCTTCCTGCTTATTTGTGGGCATTGTCTTGGGAGAAACCTGAGTGCTTGTCATATCCTGGGGTAACTGGTCTCTTTGCTTCTGTCCAGTGTTTGTGGTATGGAAATGTCTGGTATCTCTTACACCTGTTTAAAGTATTGGCTGAACAGCAGACAAAGTTGAGTTTAGAAAATAAAATTTAGGACCAGGGAATTGAGAGGGGTGTATCTCCCTGGAACTCACAAAAATTTGGGGGGTTTATGAAAATGTAAGTTTTAACATACTTATGTCAGAATGACTATGACAGATGTTTTTGCACAATGAAAAGTATTTTTAAGACTATGAAAAACAATATGAGAGAGAAATTTGATAGTGTGCACTTGTCCTCACACCTTTATAACTTGTCGGTACACACCTTAATAACTTGCATTTGTATTTTACTGAAATTTGTTTGGTGAGGTTGCCCCTTTAAACTGACAAAACCTCTCAGCTGTCAAACTGCATCACAGATCTTTGAGAAGGATAAAATTTTACTTGAGGAGTTATTGATTTAAAAACAACAGAGAACTTATGTGGTTGGCACCTAGAGCTACTCCTCAGGGTCCTCCATGTTTGCTGAGGGTCGTATTTTTCTTTTGCTGTTTAGTGCAGGGCCTGCCAGGCTCCAGAAGATCCTGTGGGCTAAGAAATCTGTAGGAAGACAAGCCTACCTTGACC